GCGATCACCCCGAAGTAAGATATCTTGATCTGTGATGCAGAGCTCATGAGCGATGAGCTTATATGCTTTCGGAAGTTTGTATATTTGATTATTTTGCAAGTTCTGTTTAATCTGCTGGAGTTCCGGATCTGCTAATGTTTCTCTTTGTATTTCTTCTAATTTCATGGCATTCGGTGTCTGTGCTTGTGTCATGTAATGAACATATCGGTCAGCGCGAGCCTCCATGTTACTCCTCTTGTTTCCATCGTTTCCATCTTTCGGGAGTCGGGACAAAGGATGGCCAGATTGGATGGGCCAGGTCGGTAGATAACGTGGAAGTCGTACTCTTGGAGTCGAAGTCTCCATCTTTCGAGTCTAGCTGATGTTGGTTTGCTTTGAAGCTTTGCCTTGTAGATATGCTCTAAAGGTCGGTGGTCTGTCTCCAATTCAAAACTACGTCCATATAGGTACATGTGAAAGTGTTCACATCCGAATACGATTGCTAATCCTTCTTTCTCTATGTGACCATACTTCTGTTCGACATCTGCTAGCGATCTGCTACCATACGCGATTGGTCGATAATTGTCGTCGGCTTGTTTCTGGAGAAGTACGGCACCCAGTGCCCATGGCGATGCATCTACTACGACTTTAGTTTCCGCAGTAAGATTATAATGAGCTAATACCTGTGAAGTGGTGATGGCATTCTTCAGTGACTGGAATGCTTTCTCGTGACTGTGATCCCAGTGAAACGTGACATTCTTCTTTGTAAGCTGTCGAAGTGGGAAGGTTAGGCTGCTGTAGTCGGGTATATATCTCGAACAATAATTGGTGAGGCCTAGGAAGGATCTGACTTCCGATGCTGTGGTAGAATGTGGAGCATTTGTTATGGCTTCGACTTTGGTGCTATCTGGTCTGATCGCTTTCTCGGACACGATATAACCAAACACGTTTATTTGCGGTACTGCGAACGAACACTTTGGTAGTTTCAGTGTGATGTCATAAACTTATATTCAAGCTTAAACTATTCGGTATAACTGGTAAACTACATGACTGGTTAAAGGACTATCTCTCGAATCGTTCCCAGCAGACCACAGTATTAGGGGCTACCTCAATGCCCTTACCTGTCCTATCTGGAGTACCCCAGGGTTCTATATTGGGTCCCATACTATTTCTGATTTACATCAATGATATTGTTGAAGTGGTCCATCGGGACTCTGGGATGGCGTTGTATGCTGATGATAGTAAATGTTTCAGAGTCATAAAATCGTTAAACGACTCGCTCCTTTTACAATCTGACTTAGACAATCTGTCATCTTGGTCTAAGTCATGGAACATGGACTTTAACGAGACAAAGTGTGCCATAGTGTCATTCACCAGAAAGCACCATCCAATTATTCAATCATATTCACTTAATGGATCCGAGCTACGAAAAGTCAACGAACAGAAGGATCTCGGAATCCTGACAACCAGCTCTATGGAATGGTCAAGTCACGTGGCTACTGTATGCTCTAAGGCAAACCGTACACTTGGGTACATTCGCCGTTGTTCTGCGGAAATTGGTAGCTTAAACGCGCGTCGCACTCTCTACACCAGTCTGGTAAGATCCCTGTTTTCGTACGGATCCCAATTGTGGGATCCTCAGAAAATCAAATACATAAACATGATGGAAAGGGTACAAAGGCGTGCAACAAAATTTTTACTGAAACTACCGTTTCGCACAAAGGTTTCATACCAAACACGGCTGTTAAAGCTCGGCCTTTTACCACTTACTTACTGGCTAGAAATTCTTGACTTGGTTTTTTACTTTCGTACATTAAAGGGAGAAATTTTTCTCGACAATAATGGCTTGGTCCAAATTAAACAACAAATTCGTATTTCGCGTCATAATAACCCTCAGTCAGGCGTTCTCGTCGAGATACCTCGTGCTAAAACAGTATCATTCCAGAATAGTTTTTTTGTCCGCACAAGTAGAATATGGAACAGTCTAACACCAGTTGAAAGGGACTTGTCTCAAAGTGCTGCTACTTTTAAACGTAGTCTCACGAGGAAATATAACGGGCTACTTAGAGATGTCTACGATCCCGACAATGCTGTAACTTTAAAGTCGAACTGCGTGAAATGTCACGTGAACAGAGAACTAGCACACGTTCTCCAAAAACCGTGCTGTTTTTAACTAATGTAACCAGTGATGCAACTTAGAAGTATATCAGGGCTCATCGTAATTGGCTCCCGTGGATATTATCCTACGGAGCTGTGATGATAACCCAGCCATGTATTAGTGTATGTATTGTCAGTATCGTAAATTCGTATTGTTTGTAATGGCAAAGCATTTTAAATAAATAAAATAAAATAAATAAAAAAATTAAATAAATAAATGCCATTGGTTCTCAGGATTGTGAGGAGCTGGTCTAGCCGCTTGAGGTGTGTTTCTCTGTCTTTGGACCATAGCCAAATGTTATCAGAGATGTTGGCACAATCTGGTACCTCTTTGATGAGCTCGTGGATAATCTCATGAAAGTGTTCTCCGGATGGTGATGCTCCCATTATCAGCCTGGTGAATCTATGCGGACCATCTTCAGGGGTTGAAAATGCTGTAATATGACGGGATTCCTCTACCAAGGTCAGTTGAAGATAACCTTGCGACAGGTCAACCTCTGTAAAGACTTTTGCTCCCTCCATCTTTTGAAGTATCTCGTTGACTGTAGGAATTTGTACGCGCCGTCTTACAAGTGCTGTGTTAGGTATACGCATGTCTAACACTAGTCGGAGGTCCCCACTCTTCTTTGGGATGGCTATCAACGGTGATAACCAAGGCGTTGCTCCCTCAACTTTCTCGATTATCCTTTCTTCTCTCATCTCCTGCAGCTTTTTGTTTACTTTGGTTTTCATGTGTGGAATTTTCCGATTTGTTTGTGTGACCGGGGTTATTGTTGGGTCAATTTTGAGCTTCACTTCACGTCCCTTGAGGTTTCCCGTTCCTTCAAATAGCTTTGGATGTTTGTTGATAATGCGACGTACATCATGATCTTGTTGAACCGGGTTGAGGGTGTTGATGTTGAGGATAAGTCCCAATGAGGAAGATGATTCATATCCAAGAATACACTTAGATTTCTTCTGTGCTACATAAAACTTAGCAGTTTTGAATGTACCTGATGCTGAGGTGATGCTAGCTTGAAATTCTCCGGCTAACTCGAGTGGTGTTGATGTTCCATATGCAAAGATTCTGGCATTGGTCTTTTGTAACTTGATACAGTTGTCGTCTTTCTGAATTTGTTGAAAAATTGGGTAGTTCAGAAGGTTAACAGAGGCTCCGGAATCAATCAGAATGTTTACTTTAGTGTGTCCAATCTGTACTTGCGTTTCTGGATGTTTACCCGAGCTTGTGTTGACAATAAAAAGAAATTCATCGTCCGAGTCTTGAAGATAATCAGAACTTTTCTCTTGGTTGACATGTCTGACATTTCCACTGTCCTTAGATTGAGATCTGCAATATTTTGCAAAATGACCGATTTTCTTGCAGTTGTGGCAAGGTTTACCTCGAGCTGGGCAAGACTCTATTCCGTCTTTGTGCGGGAATTTACCTCCACAGTTACGACAGGTTTGGGACTTTCGACCGCTATCTGGAGCTTCTTTCTGGTATTTATTTCATTGAAAACGCGAATCGGGCTTCTTGGGCATCTGTATCTGGAATTTGATCCACCGGAAGTTGGAAATTTTCGATGTTGTTTTGAATTCTTTTCGTTGTAATTATAATTTACCGTTTCGTTACTTTCGCTTTGGAATTTGCTGGCGTTATCGAGGCGTTTAGACTGTTCATCTGTACGTTCTAAGGTATTCCCGTAGTCAAGAATTTGTTTGAGAGTCATCGTCTCACGAAGCGCTTTCTTTCTTAACCGGGAATCGCGGGTTTTGTGAATAATTTGGGTTTTAATCTCGGCTTCCTCGCTGTGAAAATTACATTGTACTACATTTGTCTTCAGTCGACGGTAGTATTCGTTGAGCGTTTCGTTGGATCCTTGCTTTAGCTCTCGAAAATCGAATATAGCCATATCTGTATAATTTTTCCTTGTGGCACGAAGTGTTGTGTGAAACAATCAATCGCTTCTTGACAAGTTGTGCCAGTGTCGGAGAGAATATCGATATCTTGACCTTCGGTATCCATAATATAGATTCAGGGTTTTTCGGACCTCGTCGCCACTTTTATATCCTCTGTTATTCAACTTTTATAACATATATTTACTCTGCTATATTATACATGTATGCTTGCTCTCTGGCTTAGCGTCTCCTAATCTAATCTAATGTCTCGTGACCTAATCTTATATGTCAATCACTTACAGCTGACCAATCAGCATTAGGATACAACAGTCACACAACCAGCTCCACTCGCATCGTCTGCGAACCAACACTGCTTCACAGTAGATGCGGCCTGTAGACTCGTGATCAAAGGCAGGGTACTTATCGCATAAAAGGCCATTGCCAAAGGATCTCCTTGTGTTGTTCCTTCTGCTGACGCAATATCTTTGCCGCCAACAATAAACAGCCGAGCTGGCTGTCTGTAGGTGTTTATAGCGTAGACAGCGATTATCGGACATAAATGTTACGCAGAGCCACAGTTCTGTTGAGTGCATTGAATGCATTAGAAGCATCAATAAGTAAAACAGCATCAATGTCATCAGCTTCAAACAGGGTGTATTGCAGCCTCACTTCCAGACTTTTGCCCAGCGCATAATTGTAACGATCCACTTGCTTCCACAACATCCTTCTTTGCAAAGCTCATAACACATTTTGCACTTATCCTCCTTATTACCTCTCCTACTCCAATAGGTCTTACCACACCTTCGTATTTGTCTAGGGGAATTAAACGACTAGCAATCAATGCTTCAATAGTGGTAGGATCGATATATTGTGTGCACAAAGTCTTGGTCATTCTGGCTATAGCTTCGCACAGTCTTGTAGATGATTGCTTAAAGGACTTACATGCCAACATTCTTCTAAAGCCGTTAGCATCGACACCAGATGGGTCTCCGGATCCCTTTGTTCTCAAAGCGGCTTGTCTAACCATCTCAACATTGATCTCCGAGTAGACAGATTCAGGTATCTCGTCATTGAGCGGGCCAAATAACACTGATCCGAGTTTTGCCGGTTGTGGCTCAGGATGCTTCTGTTTTAATTGCGTCATTACATCGTCAGTTAACGTTAACACGCAGCCATTTGAGGTTTCACTCAGGAAGCGAAGGGCCGAGTTGATTTGACCTTCTAGCACAAGCTTAGCAAAGACTTTATCGGGGTGGTTTGATCCTTTAAATTTTCCAGTAGACTTTGTATGATTCGGTCAATAATAATATTCAATAATCTTTGTATTCAATAATAATAATAATAATAATATTAAATAATAATAATATTAAATAATAATAATATTAAATAATAATAATATTAAATAATAATAATATTAAATAATAATAATATTAAATAATAATAATAATAATCCTGTTTCGTAAACAGGGTGTCGCTACCGCCAGGGTGACGCTACCAGTCGAGAAGAGTTGAAAACTTTCCATATAAACACTTGATGATATAATTTTGCCTCTGGGGGGGGGGGGGGGGGGTAAGGTGTCCCTAATACCCGAAATCGTGTAAACAGCGCCTTGGATAGGTCGCTCGCCCTACGAGGGCAAAGCGACCATCATCGAAATCGGCCATAACCCGATACTGTACATACCTCCATTTGTTCTCTGTGCCTTGTATTAGCAGGAAGTATATCCCAGAGTAGCTTGCAAAAAGTCTTCACAGAGACCGACTTTCCATTATGTTTCGTATTAGTTTTGACCCACTGCCTGAAAATACAAATAAAAAATTGTTAACAAGACAATATAAAGTCGAGTCACAAACAATATATTGCCATCAAGGGCGTGTATAGTGGAAGAGGGACTCATGGGACCCTTAGCTCTGTCCTCGTTGTTAACGTCCCCATGCAATTTGGGGGGGGGGGGACGACTGGACCCCCTTAAGACAGAAATAATCTTTGATAATATAACAAATATTTTCCAATTTAATAAGATTTAGCATTATTGTACAATTAAAATGCAGTTATTCCAATTTATTTCTATTCAATTTTTGAAGGTCAGACCTGTAATGGACATCAGATTTCCGAGGGGGCACTGGATTAAAAACTGCATGTGTTTGTGTCAGTTTGTGGTAATCTTCAACATATATGACAAAACGTAAGATTTTTACAGTTTTTTGCTCATTTACATGAACGCTGATGCAAAATGTCGCCAAAATTACTTATACCAATTTTTGGATGACGTCCATGTTGACAAAAACGTCACTTGATACCCAGGCTCATTCTTCTTCGCTCCTCGGTATTGTATATATTATGATTTAATAATCTGATACCAGCACAATTTTAAATTCATTAGTATGAAGGAATATATGACGCTTCTTACACAATGCGTTTGAATTTTTAAAGCGTTTTTTATATCTAATTTTAGCAGATGTTAACTTGATCAAACGTAAATTTTCATTTTTAGACGCAGAGTTTGTTAATACTGTAAAAATCCGTATTAAAAAACCAAAAGAACAAATTTATGCATCTGGCATCTCCATTTGCGCAGATAACTGAGAAAGAATAATAGGGGGGGGGGGGGAATTGGAAAACGAAATGTTTTAAATATTTACGAAGCAATTTTACGAAACAATTTGGACGAAGCAATTTCACCCCCAATGTTCGGCATAATAAATAAATAATGAAATAGTCCACTCCAACGTGCAGAGTGTTGATGATACAAAATAAACGCAGGAGTACACTCGAACAGAAACACTCTGAAACTAACCGCTCCTAAACAATAAACTTGCCTAGATTTAATCTTTACGCCCCAAATATTATTTACATCGGAGTTGCATCATAAATTGTAGTCGGATTCAAACAACACAATGTCAACGACTTTATAAAAGTAAAAGCATATTGTCTATTGGGTTTACACTTTTACAGGTTCATTTACAGTCAAATCCGGTTCGCCTTTGACCTTAACATTGCTATAATGATATACAATTTTGCAATTTTGATTGACATTTGTGTCGTGCAATTTCCAACTGTCGAGGTAAATTGCTATTTGATAATTGCAAATTTGCGCGCAATTTGCATCTCACTCCAAGAGCAGACGGACAACAATTCAATACAATGTTTCAACTTTTAGTCAATTATTTAGGGGATAGATACGCGAGTGTTTTTCTTGAAAAACCTATTAAAGAATACAGATTACTTGTCGAACGTATTAAATCTGCAATACCTTGTTTCAATGAATTGCACGACGACGAAATTCGAATTGCATATAAAGATGTTCATTCAGGATGTTTCATAAATATTCATGCAAATGTTGATGAACAATTTCAACTAACAGATACTTTCAACAACGTTGTTACAGTTGGAGCATACGATAGAATTAATTTGAAAGTTTGTAGAAGTGATTCACCGTTACTTATTAGAAAGAAATCGTTAATTCGCGACGATCTCAACGAACCTACGTTTTCTTCGAGTGTAAATAACAAGGTGAGACCGATTGCCGCTTTCACGGAAAATGATGATACAAGTACGAATACGTCTGCCCTTCCCAAACAACTTAATTTTACAGCAGATTTGTCCGAAGTTCAAGGGTGGAAAGAAAACAAAATTGAACAAGTAACTAACAAATTGCAATTGCTGGAAGATAAAAAGATTGCTCTTGAAACCCATTTGAGAGAACTTGAAGTAGAAGTGCCAGTGCCAATGAATGCGGGAACTTACCGAACAATCTGTAGCCATTGTCACATACGCGGACACAGGGCGGAAGGTAATCGCAATAACAATCCTTGTTACGCCCCCGTTTGCACGTCTTATTTTAATTGTGGACAAATAAAAAAGCATCCTGAACATCTCGATGAAGTCCGTAATATAAAAAAGCAAATAAAAGGTTTGACGAAGGAAGTTGACAATCTGAAATCGGAGAAGAAAAACGTAGTAGCTTTTCAGTCAAGAAGTATATCAGCTTTTGCAACCGCTATAACTCCTCGTCTTACTCGAGCATTCCCGGACAAATACTCTTTAAAAACTGCAAGTGGTAAGCTAGACCTGCAAAAGGACATGGCAAAATTACGGATGGCTTGCCATAATAAAGTTCCTGAAAACACAGGTGAAGACAAATTATTGTTTCAGTCATTGTTAGAGAAGGAAACAAAAGCAATAAGCGAAGTTAAGAATTCCTGTAATTCTGCGAGTACGTCAAACGTTATGTGTAGTACAATCAGTGTTGCCGTTTCTCCGGTCTCATGCAAAGCAAGGAAACGCGCGAAAAGGAAACGAGATTCAACTGATTCAAGTACCGATGAAAGCGACAGCTCGTTTTCTTCTGTCGATGCGAAGGCCAACAAAAAGAGCAAGAAGTCGTCCCGAAAAGTGCATAAAAAACAACACAGAAAGAGAAAAAAGAAATCTCGTGGAAAAAACGGTAACAAAAAGCGAAGACATCACCGAAGCTCAAGTAGTAGCAGTAATTCTGACTTGGAAAGTGCAAGCTCTGACGATGGCGGATTTAATTTCGACAGTAAATGCCCTATTTACCAAGCGAAGTGTCAAAGCAATGCCAATGTCAAAGGCAATTCAGACGCAAATAAGTTGCAAACTCAAAATAAGCCGGAACAATGCTCTTTAGAAGAATTAGCCACAATAGCCGTGGCTATTAATAACAATGACAGACAATAATGTGTTGACTTGTCTAATAGTTATGCGTTTCTATAAAGTTTGGACTAGCAATCTAGCATCTAACATTTTTTATTCAGTTGACATTGTGTTTGATAACAAAAACATTTTGTTGTCATTGTTGATTAATTTACTGTAATTGAAAACTTTACTTGAACCAACATTTATTCATATTGCGCGTATTTTACCGATTTATATTATATGGTTTTGCTAAAACTCTTGTGTTACTGTATTATCATGCAGGTTTACTGTAGTAAATACACTAATTCCAAGATTGATTTGTTACACTTTCAAATTTTATTCATGTTTCATTTAGTATTACAGTAAATACAAATTTTCCTATAATTTAGTTCAGGTAACAAACATAAAATCAAAAATCCATGATGTATTCATGTTCAAACATACAGCAGCACAATTACATTGTTACTTGATATAGTCAGATATTAAATCCACAATGTTGAAAAAACTTTTGGGATACTTCTGGAGTGACTGTTTGTAAGCCATCCATTATTGCAAGCTCTGTGAAATTTATTGCATATTGTTCGTGCTTACGTAAGAACAATTTCATATTTCTGAAGCAGAACTCACATGAATTAAAGTCCGGGCTATACGGTGGCTGAAAAATCAAATCAACTCCACGGTTTGCTAACATAGTCCGTAACTCATTTTCAGCCATTGCCCCGTGATGGAAACCGCAATTGTCCATTACAACCATATCACCATCAGCAAGAATAGGATTTCCATACACACCATCAATAAGTTGCAGACATTCATCAAAGAAATGTAACATTTCTAACCCGTTTGAAGGTCCTTCTAGTATGTTGAAATAGTCCACACCAAAACGACTATGTAAGAGGTTGACCGTGTAATTACAGTTGGAAGAATATCTTTGAACTTCCAAGGCTTTTTCGCCCCTTTTTGCATGTCCATATGTGCGATTTGGCGTTGTTTTTGTGACTGAGGATTCATCGAAGAAGTGTACTTTGGATGGGTCTGCTCCGGACATAAACATAATGTAATCTAGTGTTCTGTTTTGGTTTGGTATTGTAATAGATTCGGAAGGGATGGGAGTTAGCTTCTTAAATGTAAAATTTAAATCATTTTTTAAAATTCTGGAGATTGTTGTGCGCGAAGGAACTTTATCCGCTGCACAAACGCCAAGGTTGACCATTTCGCTTTGAATTTCGGCTGCATATATGCTTGGCTTCGTTATTTTTGAGTACTCCACGAATTCAACCACTGCTGGTGTACTGACGCTTCTTTGTTTTACCCCTTGCCCGGGCATCAATGTTCCTCTTTCAACAAATTTATTTATTATGTTTGAGACCGTTTGTTTGGACAATAATAACTGTCTCGCAATTTCTGTTTGATTACAGCCTGTGGACCACAGAGCAATAATCTTTTCTCTTTTGGCTGGAGCGAGTGGCGTTGAAGTGTGACGGTGAATATTCGCCATTTCGATTGAATATTCCAAGGCAAAGAATAAAGGAATCTATAGTATTACTCTGTGCAAATTGCGCGCAAATTTGCAATTATCAAATAGCAATTTACCTCGACAGTTGGAAATTGCACGACACAAATGTCAATCAAAATTGCAAAATTGTATATCATTATAGCAATGTTCAGGTCAAAGGCGAACCGGATTTGACTGTAACTTTAAGTCTTTAACTCTCTCAAGTCTCAACAGACAATCGGACATGCCAAATCCATTAATTGATATGACAAATTGACAACTTCAAAAAGCTTTTTTTCGAAGCTAGAAATCATGATTTTTTTCAAATTTTTCCTTTCGCAAGTTGTTGTGACAGAGCTGCAGCAATGCTGTTTTCAACAGGCCTGTCGCAAGTTGTTGACACAGGACTGCAGCAATGCTGTTTTCCACAACTTGCGACAGACCTGTTGCAAACCGAGAAAAGCGCCTTGTGAAGCTTGTGTATCCACTATTTTGAACAAAAAACGGCCAAACAGGTTGCCATATTTCGGTTGTAGTGTTTCGTGAAATAGGCAGACTTTCATATAAACACTTATAAACAAACTTGCGAGATATTTTTTGAGCAAAACTGCCGAAAAAATACGACAAATTAAAGAAAGGTTCTTATCGTAAACAATTTTCAAAATTTGGTGTTCAAGTACGACCGAAATATGACAACCTACTTGCATATTTTTCTTCAAGATAGTACATATAATAACACAAAGCTTCAATAAGGCGTCTTCGCAGATTTCACCATAGGAAGCCCAAAACGGCGTGTAGAATGCACCAATAATGCTTCCAAATGTCAATTTGCATTAAGCTCGCCCCATTCCTTTGTCATTTGTCGCGCGCCGCAAGCACTCAATTGAAAAGCAGTGTTGATAAACAGGTGGGCAATTTGTCGACGCTGACCAAAAATAGCGGCTCATTTCTTCTTGAGTTGCCATTTTCGCGTCGAAAAGCAAAAATATAGACTTTCGGAGAATATTTTAGCTGTTTACTATCAAATATGTTTGTGAAACAGTTGATAATCTCACTGAGGAAGGCCAACAGTTTTTGAAAAGCTAAAGTACGTCGAAATCAGCGTTGGAATAGACTATATTTTCACCGAGGAAACATGAACTAAATGGATTTTTACATCAACACTAAATTTCGATCGTGCCTACAGAGCTAGTTGGATTAAAACAGATGTTAAGAAGTGAAAATGTGAATTTTGTGAATTATACTTTCATTAAAATGTTTCAGAAGGGCTGCTAATGTCAAACTACACGTGTGACAGAGCTGTCAGTATACCCATATTTCCATGTTTATGTTGAAATGGCCCATCTTCTTTGAGGTGTAGCGTAAAAATTAGGGTATGCTCATCACTTCAAACTAGCTTTAAATCAAAGTTTTATCTATAGTCTTTTTATTAGAATTGAAATCATTCATGGGAAAAATGTGCCAGAGGGTTGAAATTGCCCTTGTATAAAATGTACACTATTTTTGATATGTTTGGGTTAATATTTTGAAAAGGTGTTCTGGAAGGAAAATATGTCTTGAACAATACTGGTTGACCCTTAAATTATACCTAGTGTTATGTAAATCACAGAAAATTGAAAAAAGTCTGGTCCATACACAATAGCTTGGATTCTATGGGGTCCCGAATGTGGCTTATTTCAATGTTTAATCTGTTTACCTGGAAAAACATAGAAAATTGAATAAGTCAAGAATTTGACTATGCTCATCACCCAAAACCAGGTTTTTCTAATTGCTTTTTCACCTGGGTTTGTGGCAATAACAGTTATGTGACCACGAAAAATGCGCGCGGCACTTTTTTTGGACACTGAAGATGACAACATTTGATGTTGTTATCTATTGCCATCCTCTTATCATAGTATAACTTAACTTATTTTAGTGAGTTTGTTAAAGAATTGTGCTCACTATATGCCTGTAGTATCTAAGATTTTTTCATAGCATTAGATGATAAATTTAAGTTCTGTTTTCTTTTATTTTTAGGTGATAGTGTCTGTTCACATGTGTGTTGGTATCAAATTTTGCACAAGATTAAATTATTATTTCACATTCCTTTATTGAAATATCCAAATAAATGGAATATGACATCAAGCTGGAGGACTAAATCCTGTTTCCAAACTTGTTTTTGTAAAAATAGAAAATAACAACTTATTATGTGTTGTTCTAATAAAAACTGTTGTTTGTGATATGCATATTAAATTCTTGAAATTACATTTCATTCTTTGTTAAAATGTGTACCAGGAATACTGAAATCTTTCAGATAAGCTAACAATACCTTTGTAACTTATATAGCCAAGTGTTCTATCTATTTCTGTTCAGATTAAACAAATGATGGGTAAAATATTAGATTAGATTTTTGCCAAAAAATGAGCTTGCCTGTTTTCAAAGCATAAAAAGCAATAAAATAAAGCAAAAGTACTTATTTTCAATTTAAAACCTTTGGAATGCATAGCTTAATGTTTTCCACTAAATATTACAAAGTTTTCGTTCATTAAAATGTTGTTTTATCAGCTTTAAAACCACAAAAATTCACGAAACACTCCTAATATATGTCGCCATATTGATTTTCTTCGCGCATGCTCAGACAAATTGCCCACCTGTTGTGTTGATATATATAGATTATACCTACAGTAGGTATAATACGGGCTGCCTATATATAGGTATAATCTATATATATCAACACAAATCAACACTGCTTATATATAGGTATAATCAACACTGATTATATATAGGTATAATCTATATATAGGTATAATCTATATATATCAACACAAAATATCAACACAAATCAACACTGCTTTTCAATTGAGTGCTTGCGGCGCGCGACAAATGACAAAGGAATGTGGCGAGCTTAAAGCAAATTGACATTTGGAAGCATTATTGGTGCATTCTACCTGCCTATGATTTCACTTGAAATTGGAAAGAAATTATATAACGAATTTCATATTCATATCAACAATGAAGAACGTTGCAGTGAACACTCGTTGCTCATGTATTTTTCATTTCTTAAGCTCTAGATCTTGTCTTCTCATTGCCACAGTTTCTTCAAAAATCAAAACAGCTTTGAACTTGTTTGATTTTGTTTGAGGCAGTTGTTGAAATTTTGTTTGGCTCAAAATTCAAAAACAACTAAACATGATTACGTGATTGATATGTTTGTAATATATATATATATATATTTTTAACTTTACAATCAAATGACCGAAGGTAAGGACAACAGGACGTGAGTCCCTAATTAATAATTTCGTCCAATTGCAACGAGGATGATGACGTGTGCACACGCCTTTATCCAATCAGATTAAAGAAATATAGCGATAGCACACGTCAGTAAAATGGAATTTGGATTTTGGATATCGGAACTATTTTTTAAAAAGAAAACAGCGGCTTTTGCATTTAATCAGAGAATATATACTATAGTCTCTCATATGTCATTTAATATTGCCACCAATGACAATGATTGAATGAGAAAGTGAAGCCGGACGTGTCTATTTCGTGCGATTTTTCTCTTCACTCACATTTTCGATTTGTTTCCCAACAACAGGCTTGTTGAAACTTGTTGACAGGACAAAAATTGTTTGTTGTGGACAGGTTTGTCGCAGGTCTGATAACAAGCTTGCTGCAGACTTGACAAAAACAACTCGCGACAGGTCTGTTGGAACAAGTTGGAACAGACCTGTTGCAAGTTGTTCTATCAGACCTGTTATCTCTTGTTAGTAACATGTTTGTAGCGGGTTGTTTTAACAAGTCGCTACGGCTCTGTTGTCAACAGCTTGCGACAGACCTGTACCCGCAAGCCTGTTACCGCCTGACGAAACCAACAGACCTGTCGCGACTTGTTGACAACTTGCCGCAAGCCGGTAAAATCAACAGCTTGCGACAGGCCTGTGAGACTTCTGGCTGTGTACCAGGGCGCTGTATTATACGTTTAAACAAGCATTGAAAGAGTTTGTCGCAAGGTGAAGTACACCTAAGTTGATGGAAGTGACAATGTAAAAATATTCGCTGCTGGCAAAAATAGTTGGAAAAATAGTTTCTTCAAAAGAAGAATGATGGTGCAAAATAGCAGTTGAACTTGTCGAGTAGCCTGCGTACGAATCGTACGCATACCGCATACCCATGTCCCCGTCACCATTTGGAACACCATGACGAGACCCTTTTTTACGGCTACACAGGAGAATAAACACAAGGGGAAATGGGGTTATTTATACGTATAGCAATGTAGAAACACTTACTCAATATCCTTATTGACTGGACGATTGTAGGTAATTGCCAGAATCTTCTTACTGTCTTCATGTGCATAACGTTCTGCTAACTTCTCGACTAGATCTTTTAACACAAGCGTTTTTCCTGTGCCAGCAGGTCCAGTAACCCACACATCTTCACAATGATCAACATTCAAAAGCATCGCCTGTTCCTTCGTATAAAATTTAGTTTTGAAAGTTCTTTGTAGACTGTTTGTACAATCCGATATTCCTCTTCGCTTAAATTCGCGACAATTCATAAACTTTTTGCCATGCGAATGATACTTCACGAGAAATTTTTTCGCGATCTGAACATATTTTTCAAACCTCATGGCATTTTTTCGTACGAGAAAGCCTGACCGTCTCAAAAAGTTGTTAAGATCATTCAGATCTTCCTTAAAGAGAACGCGGGTTTCATTCACAGGCTCTACATCACACCTGTTTAACAGTGGAAAAGCAACTACCTTCAGGATGGGGATATCACTAGATAAGCGAAGACTGTCAAGTAGTTTTGTTGTTTGTTGGTTCAATTGATTGCACGCTTCTTCGTATCTCGGCTGTACAAGTATGCGGTTGATTAAACCCTTGCATTCCATAATCAATAAGCCATAAGTTGTTAAAAAGACAAAATCTATTTCCTCGTCGTCGAAGGTTAGATTATGGAAAACAAAACCAAACGTTTTCCCAGAATAGTACGTAATCTGACTTTTATGATCAGTGTTTATTCTTTCTAACACATTGTAGAGCGCGCGTTCAGCTTCCTTACCATTGCGGGAATCTTTTGTCCTCTTGCTCATGAATACGCAGGGAATCATGTGGATCTTAGAGGCACTTTTTTCTTCTTTCCATTCTGAAAACAGGAAAAAAATGGGGTAAAATTACTTTAGACAAACTCACGACGAGTGGTGCAAGATTAATTGATCTTTGGAGCTTACTCGGAGTAGAACATTGAACTGGCTCAAAGTAATTCGCATTGTTGCTACGAAAAAAACTGCATTTGTAGTTGTTTATCCTTACCTTATTCGCTATGATTCATGTCACAAAGAATATGATCAAAATCAATGTAAAACTTTTTGGTAGATTACAGTCTATTCTTTAAATCAACTGTTTTGGTGTTCAAAAGTTGAAGTAAAATAATCATCCGGCATTAGACAAAGCAGAATATTAAACAGAATAGAGCCTATTGCGGCTTAATTTTAATAATGACTGCATTGATACATCAGGTATACCGAAGTTGTCCTCGTATATAAATCCTCACTCTAAATATTTATTATACACAAAAAACAATACGAAATATATGAATTCACTTGTCTCAAACCCTGTCAATTGTCTCTTAACCTTGTCTATACTCTTGAACAATAACAAAGTCATTATACCATATATGGTAATGTTGCGCGTGTCTCTAAATATAGCTATTACTGTTCAGAGTTCATCACACACTCCCCTAACAAATTTAAACGAATTATAAATTTTTAACAACAACATTCTACACAGTTATATTTACTTCCCTTTAATCGTCCTTCAACTGTTCTCTGATGTTAACTTTCGCGATCCTTGCTGCTTTCCGTTCTGGTCTTTTCTTTAATTTACCATCATTATCTTCAGTACTTTCATTGTGTCTTCCTTGATCTTCCTTAACCACGCTCCTTATCTCCAAAGGACATACTAACTGAAATGGTTCCAAATTGTTACCTTTATGTAACACAATAACTCCTCTAATTACACCGTCCTTTCCTTTCACGTACTTCACAACTTTGCCTTTCATCCACCGTCCTCGGTTCTTTTCGTCCAAATCTCCGGTTTGCATATTGTCCTGGTCAGTCCCACTCTTCACTAACTTTGCTTCCTTGCTTTTCTCCAACTTTTCTTTTATTCTACTTTCGTCTGTAATTTTTCTTTTCTTTTTCTTACGTTCACTTGTAATTTCAACACTACTAGTTTCTTTAGTGTTTCCCTGTGAAACAACATTACTTTTCACTTTCCCTTTCGTTTTTATGCCATTTTCCTCAAGGTTCTCTACTTCGTTTTCTTCTCTTTTCTTCCCAACATCATTTACTTCCTCAGTATGTCCTTTCGAAAGAACTTTTTTCTTCTTTCCTTTGATGTTGTCAACCTTATCTCCTTTCAATTTCTTTCTTTTCTCTTTGCTCCCCTCATCATCCATCAATTCAAATGTTTCATCTTGGTCAGAATTATCGGAAGCATTTTCGTCTTCATCACCTTGTCCTTCCTTTGTTTCTTCCGCAGTTACTGCCTTCAGTTTTCTCGACCATTCTGGTGTATTTTCATGTCCCTCAGTTTCCTCATTCATGTCTTCTCTTACTTTTCCATCGTTCAAAAACCATGGATTTTCCGAACTATCACCTACCAGTCCAAAATTTCTAAAATTCTCGGGAATCTCCGCACTATCTTTGGCTTTATTTGCCCCCTCTCTGACAACATGCTTGTAGGGTATATGATATACTCGTTTATCATTCGGTTTCACTGGTGCTCCTTCAATGATACCCGATTCTAATTGCTTCTCGATTGTTTCATCATAATTGTTGTTTACCTTCTCATCTCGCTCGATCTTTTTGCATATGTTAGCGATTAGCTTTCCACTTGGTTCTAGATTGCTATTTGGTAAAGACTGTCCTGAAATCGATGGTACTTTGACTTGATATCTACCGTCATCAGCCCGAGTAATGTTTTCTTTAAATTCACGATAAACGTCCAGTTGGTCGTTCTCCCCTCTACTTTCAATTCCAACTACATCCAGTGTATACAATTGCTCGCAGTCATTTGGTTCTCTTGTAAACATACACACATTGTTCGAAATATCTCCACCATGAACAATCCAACCAAACGAAGTACCTTCAACGATAGGATCGCCATCTTTTCCTTTGTAGATTTCCTCTGTCTTAATCTTGCAGAAGGTGTTGTCACCTAAGATCATGTGTATTGGATATTCACCATCTCTTGTCATGTAAAACCTCTTATCCTTTGTGTGTTCATAATTCCATTTAAGTTTGTTCATGTCCGGTCTTTTCACTGTTGTGAAATTTTTCATTGTCGACCCGGCTAGCTCTATATCTTCCTTGGTTGATCCATCTAATGATTCGATTGTTACATTGTAAATAGGCATGGACTGTCTTTTTGTTCCATTAATGGTGATGATTTCCTTCGATTCATGTCGTGCTGCAGAAACTTGAAGCTTCTTTACTGCTTCCTTTGAAATAAAATTCCTGCCCGATCCTGTGTCCAAAAATGCCCAGAAAACTTCTCCGTCCACCTTAACTGGGATTATGGGGGGTAATGTAATCTCTTCCGTTGTTGTTGAATAGCCCGTTAGTACTGTACCATCACCCTTGTTCTCTTTCTGGTCATGTAGACTGGTATGATGTTTCTCCCCACAGTGATAGCACCCACGACTCCGACAATGTCTAGCCCTATGTCCCGGGCTACCGCAATTGAAGCATAAATTGTTCTCCACGAAGTAAGCCTTTCTTTGAGCTGTGGTTACATAAGACTTGCACATATCACTCCAGTGTTCAGCTTTACAGAACATACAACAAGGTGTCTTTTTTCCTCTTTCGTTCTCTTTACCTCCTTTACGTGCAAACAAGTTTTTCTCTCTCTTTCTTGGGTCACCTGTGGATTTATCTTCTTCAGTTTTGTTTCTTCGTAACCATTTTTGCAGACTATCAACTAAATTCTCCATTTTCCATTCCTCCCAATCTTCATCAGTCCTTACCAAGTCTGACTTCACATTTGGCAACTTATTAATAGTACACATCACAAATCCATCTAATTTCTCATGTTCACCGAGAGTCTGTAGGGCGTCATAGTTCTTGCTCAAACGTTCGTAGAAAGCCAAGATCTTTTCATAGGAGGACCCTCGTACTATGGGTAAATTTACTACTTCATCAATATGTGCATTCACAACCAACCTTGTTTGACCGTACTCCTTTTTGAGTCGTTCCCAAGCCGTTTTATATCCAATCGAGCTCGGTTTGAGGTTTGAGATCTTATCCCTGATTTTTCCACTCACCATTTCAAGTAAATAGCCAACCTTTTCCTCATCACTAATTGGCTTAGAATCAACTTGTGTAATAAACATGTTCTCAAACCTTACCCAGTCTGCTATTGTTCCATTAAATTGTGTTATTTTCAATTTAGGAAGTTTAGCTACAGTTGATCTTGCAGCTTTTTCCATTTCTAGCTTTTTCTCCGTCATTCTAAGCTCTGCTTGTAATTTTTCTTCGAGCATTTGCCTCTCTTGGTCTCGAATTACTTCCCTGTTATGCTCTTCTTCGATACGTTTCGCGTCTCGTCGCTTATTTTCCTCTTCAGCGGCAATATTTGCTTGTCGTTTAGCCAGAAAATCAGACAGTTTGTTCATTTCATTTACCCATGGCATATATCTATCTCTTACCTCTTTCTTCCATTGTCGAATTTCCCGTGATGTACTTTTTCCCAGCTCAACTTTCGTCTCTTGAGCGGTCGAAACAAGGCTATATATTTGATCCAAAATCGCCTTTGTACGCTTGTTTACTGTTTCGATTTCCCTCAGATCTTGTTCTTCGATAAGCTCGTCGGTTTGTTCCAAATAATACTTTAACTTTTCTATTTCCTTGTTGATTTTATTCTCAATTTGTTGCTCGCTCGCTTGTGCTTTTGTGTCGCTCATTTTAACTCTTGCTTATCGTCGTAAATATAGTTGTAAATTTGTTGAAATTCCCCGTAAAATATCACTTGTTTCCCTTGTTTATATCCTGGTCACGGCACCACTATATACCGAAGTTGTCCTCGTATATAAATCCTCACTCTAAATATTTATTATACACAAAAAACAATACGAAATATATGAATTCACTTGTCTCAAACCCTGTCTATTGTCTCTTAACCTTGTCTATACTCTTGAACAATAACAAAGTCATTATACCATATATGGTAATGTTGCGCGTGTCTCTAAATATAGCTATTACTGTTCAGAGTTCATCACAATTGGTTAGCACCCCCCAAAAAAACTTTGCTGGATCCACCACTGCACCAGATGATTTTATATGTTGGGATTGATCATTGGTGTTCAATGGATTATCTCATAATACACACTAGTTTGTTAACCTACTCTGTCTAATCATGCTAATACCATCATTGGCAATGGAATTGAGCAGTGATGTAGCCAGAATTTCTAATTAAGGCCTTCAAGGGGGACTGAAATTCCCAGGAGGGGCCTGCACTAGTTTGAATAAAGTTTGTTAGTATGTAAAAATATATTTGGACTCCCAAGCTATCCATGTATAATATAGTACAATGTGAACTTTTTAAATTCTAGTTAATAAAGTGCCATTTTGGGGGGCTAATTTAATGTGTTTTGGTGATTTGAAATAACCTTGCAGTTAACACATGTTCAACTCTAATTAATTACAAACAAGTTCAGAACATTTAAAATATTTTGACCCCCCACCCCCTCTGGTTACACCACTGGAATTGACTTGAGCCTTTTAGACCTCTGAATTTTAGTTGCAACTTAGAACAGTACGTGTTCTGACATACAAGAAAATTGTAAGAAAATTTGTGCAAAAGTATTTCTCAAATAGGTCGTTCCAGAAAATATCCACACTCCCCCCACAGAGGAAATTTCTGCCGTTCAGAGGGGGAGGGGGAAAAATTGTTTCTGATAATAGTAAATGTATTAGGACATCCAGAGGGGTAGAAGGGATTAACTTTCAATTTCCTCTGTGGGAGTGGTATGGGTGTTTTCTGGAATGACCCAATATAACTGTGTTTTTTTTTTCTTTTCAAATCTAATCAAACTCATTTAGTGTCAAATTGTCAATCCTTGTACATGGGGAGGGGAAATTTTGGAGAAAGAAAAATTGTGACCAATCAGGTTGGGGGTCCACCTGTAGGCCTGGTCATAGGCATATAGGACTGGGCTCAGTTGTTGGGCAGACTAGGCCAGTCGGGCAATATTTACTTCACAGTTGGGCAATATTGACTTATTATAAAAATAAATATGAGAAATTATTCCCTCAATATTGGGGGAAATATGCTATATAATGGTCGAAAATTTAGTTCATTTTGATTAATAGTCATTTAATATATGTGCTATCAGCAGTTTCTTTATGGTATTAAGTAACAGATTACAATGTTTGTACATTTAGCTTAGAGGCACTAATAACTCAATAATAAATAGGCACTGATACAAACTCTGAGCCAGTGCACCCAGCATCCTCAAATTGGGAATAATTTGTAAATTTAAATATTTGTGTATAATTCATAATTTATCCTATTCCAATACAAAATGCAACAATATAGAACACACAATTTATCAAATAAAGGTAAAAAAGGTATTAAAAACTTTATTATGTAATATTTACATTGAATATCGTGGTTGAAGTTGTAGATTTATACTTGAAATTTCAATTTTCGAACGAGAAATGTTTCGCTTTATTATGTTAATTAAATTTTTACTTTGTTCGCCATTCTTGCTTATTTACAAATACAAATAGTCCATTTCTTCTTTTGCTCTTTTCAAAATAGCCCAGAAATTGGTTCAAAAAAGTATTTTCATGCAAAAACCAGCATTTAACTTTTGTATACACTCCTTGTGATAGCAGACATGTAACATGAAGTTCAGGCCCTATCACAGAATAGGGCCTGACACAAAACCTATCTAAAGTGTGGGATTCCCGTCCACCTGGTGGACGGGAAATCTGATTGGTTGATCAGCATCATGAAGGATTTTGATTGGTTGCAAGTTCACATAAACAACAGTTTTAAAAATAGCTCGGTCAAGGCGAGAATTAATATAAAGGTCAAACGCACGTAACAAATCCATTATCGATTTCTTCGAATTTCTTTTCTTTTATGCTTTATGGCAGAAAATAAATCAAACAAACAGTATTTTGAAAGGGCTTCATCAAAATCTTTGACGAATTTTGGATACACACGACGCTGAAAGAACAGCCAAACTAGTCATGTATTCGAAAGCTTCAGTTGTTGACAGCCAAGATGTTCTGCCAACTTGCTTCGCCGGCAAAAGTCTTATTTTTAATATCAGGTCCTACCGGCGTAATTGTTTTCTGAGCTACATCGCCTTCTTCGTGGTATGATTGAGAATTTAATTGTTGCTGTTATTAGCCCGTTAGTCGTTAGAGTATATCCGCGTCCAGCAAGTTGAGACCTTGAGAAGGCTTGGCAGTCAAGCCGTGCACAGAACTGACTAATTAAATCTTTGTTTGCTGTTCGCCTGTTCGGTTAAATAGAGAAACTGACTCTTAATTATATAAAAGTACCTTGAATTTTTAAGTTTAATTAAAAAGCAAAATGCTCTGCGGACATGTTCATGAGAATATAATTTTTTTGTGTAACGAAATCTACAACACTTGTCAATCATATTGCATGTGTGTCTAAAAATAACATGTGGGCGTCCCACGGTCTAGACAGGTTTTGTGTCAGGCCCTATTTCAAATTAGGGCCTGAACTTCAGGTTAGCAGACATGTTGCCAAAATATCACCCGGTTAATGAATAACTTCCGGTACTTTCATTGTATTCGCATTGACCAATCAAATCACGTTCTGAGTTGGATTATCCCAGGGCTTCTGAGAGCAATAAGCGCAGAAGCCCTGGGTACGAGGTTGCTACAAACATTTAATGACACTAGTATTTATACTCTAATTACAAACATGCAAATCCACTGAATATATTATTATAATACTGAATATATTGCAATTTCTCGTTTTTCTTGTTGTTTTTTTATAATAGTTTGGTATTTCTTAAAGTATTATAAATGAATTTAATGATTAAATAAAGTCTTTCTTTGTTTCCTTCTAAATTTTTTTCTAAATGTTTACTTCTTGATGTTTTAAGTTCCTGCTTGCAACCGTTATGGTGGTTTTCTCATTCGGCCACTTCTTGTTCTATGCTCTTAACTTCTCTGCTTTAACATCTCGCTCTGCACTGCTGTATCATGCATGATTGTCTCAGTGCTCATCGTGGCTTCCGAAGGAACCATTCCATCTTCAATCAAATAGCTCTTTCTTCAATGGATCGTTTCGTTTTCTGATATGAATTCGATTTCTTCTAAACTCCTGCCCATTTGGAGTTCTAACGTTGTACGATCTCGGAGTTGACAATTTCGCATCCACTGTGTCTTCTTTTCATCGATCACGCACCTGTACTCGAATTCTTTCTCCTTCTTTCAATGGTGGTAAAGCTCGTGATCCAATATCATAATACCTCTTCTGATACTTTTGCTTCTTTCTTAGCTTCACTTCAACTGCTTTGGGATTGATAATCTGCGGTTACAATTGACTTGTGGTTGTCGGTAGAATAGACTTAAGTCGGCGACTCATCAGCAATTGTGATGGAGAACCAATATCATCGATTGATGTGTTCCGATATTCAAGAAGACTCAGATAAGGACCTTTATCATCCGCTATAGCTTTGGTCAGCAATCTTTAACTGTCTGAACAGCTTTCTCTGCCAAACAGTTGGACTTAGGATAGTAAGGACTAGATGTCTGATGTTCAAATAACCATTCTTTAGAGAATTCCTTTTACCCCTGAGCTGTATATTGCGGACCGATATCGCTTCGAACAACAGATGGTATACCATGTTCAACTGCTTTGGGATTGACAATCTGCGGCTGTAATAATTGACTTGTGGTTGTCGGTAGAATAGACTTAAGTCGGCGACTCATCAGCAATTGTGATGGAGAACCAACATCATCGATTGGTGTGTTCCGATAGTCAAGAAGACTCAGATAAGGATTTTCACCATCCGCTTTAACTTTTGTCAGCAATCTTTTAACTGTCTGAACAGCTTTCTCTGCCAAACCGTTAGACTTAGGATAGTAAGGACTAGATGTCTGATGTTCAAATAACCATTCTTAAGAGAATTGCTTGTACTCCTGAGCTGTATATTGCGGATCGTTATCGCTTCGAACAACAGATGGTATACCATGTCTGGCGAAAATCTACTTGGTATGATTGACAACTGTTCGACTTTTGGTGTCGTCTAACTTTGCAACTTCCACATAACGAGAGTAGTAGTCTACCACTAACAAATAATCTTTCTGTTCCCAATGAAAAAGATTTGTGGCGACTGTTTCCAACGGTCTACCAGGTAATGGGGATTCAATCAGTGACTCTTTTGGGTTTGACGACTGATGCTCTTGACAAATGTTACACTTAGATATCAGGTCATTGATCTGTTCGTTCATCTTTGGCCAGAAAATGATATATCTCGCTCGACCTCGACATTTCTCAATTCCGATATGGCTGTCATGTACTCGAGCTAACATCTCACTTCGTAACACTGTTGGTGTAACTATCCTGTCTCCTTTCATAATGACACCCTCGATCTCCGACATTTCATCCCGATAATTCCAAAACTGGTGGATTTCTACCGGAGTCTGTTGTCTGGACTGCGGCCATCCTCTACGAATCACCGTCAAAAGAACCATCATCGTCGGATCTTTTGATGTTTCTTCTCGAATCTTCTCCAGTTTATCTGTTAATACAGGTATTCTGTGAAAAACAGAGTGTGTATGATATTCGACTTCGTCTTCCATGTGGCTTTCATCTGGCTCTGAGTTTGGAACGTATGTTCTGGAAAGAGTGTCTTCGAATACGATTTCTTTTCCAGGCTTGTACTTTACGATAAAGTCATATCTTTGTAGGCGCAATAACATTCTTTGTAGGCGAGGTGGTGCCATCGAGAGAGGTTTCTTGGTTATCGCCTCCAGTGGTTTATGATCCTTCTCGACTTCCAATGGTCGTGCATAGGTGTACTGATTAAACCTTTCGAAACCAAATACTACGGCTAGCAGTTCTTTTTCGATTTGGGCGTACCTCGTTTCTGCATCAGTCAAGGCTCTTGACGCATATGCAACGGGCTTTGAATCCTGTAACAACACCGCTCCCAGGCCTGATTTAGAGGCATCACAAGTTATTGTCACTGGTTTGCAAACGTCGTAATAAACTAGTACTGGCGCAGCAGTGAGGATTTCTTTTATTTTCTGAAACGATTCTTCTTGGCGGCTGCCCTACTCGAATTGCACGTCATTCTTCATCACGATTCTAATCGGGTCGGTGATAGTAGACATGTTGGGGATAAATTTCGTAGTTGACCATTCCCAATAGTCTCTCTGCGTCTTTCTTGCAAGTAGGTGAAGGCATTTTGTTGATGGCATCAACTTTCGACTCGTCTGGTTTAACCCCTTGTGCGGTTAGTTTATGGCCAATGTACACGACTTCAGTTGTACCAAATTCGCATTTGCTCTGGTTTAGGGTAAGGTTGATTTCTTCACACCGCTGTAGCGAATTTTTCAGACGCTGATCATGTTCTTCGGTTGTGGTACCCCAAACTAAGATATCGTCAACGTCGGTCTCTACGCCTTCAAAATCACCGAATAATTGGCTCATACGCTTCTGAAACACTTCCTGGGCGGACTTAATTCCAAAAGACATTCGCTTATAGCAATATCGACCAAATTCCGTGTTAAACGTTGTTAGCAACTGGCTTTCGTCATCTAATGCGACTTGCCAATAGCCGTAGTTAGCGTCTAACTTCGAAAACACCGTAGCTCCTGCGACACGTTATTTCTTCAATGGTTGGCATCGTGTAGTGCTCTCTCTGGATCGCTTAATTTAATGATCTTGGGTCTAGGCAAATCCGTAACTTGTTGCTGTTAGGTTTCATTACCACTACAACAGAATTGATCGACTTTCTCGATTACCCCATCTGCTTCCATTTCATCCACGGACTGTTTAAGTCGATCTCTCAGCGCTACCGGTTGACTCTTCAATGTGCTCACAACTGGAGTAACTTTCGGGTCCACTTGGATATGATAGGGTTTCTTGAAACAACCAAGCCCTTGAAAAACTTTAGGAAATTGACTGGCCATATCATTGGCAGATTTCGCCGTCGTATTTTCTCGCTTTGATAACTTTACGTTCATAACCTTTAATCTTTAATCTTTAATAAAATTTCTTTTAACACGGTAGCCTATTCAGTATAATATATACAGTCTGTTTTTCAAAGGGCCGTGCTATATAGTATTAAACACACATTAACTATGGATATTTACATTTAATTACAGCACATAATTATTACACACTCCATTAATTTCGGAAATGCATTATACATTATTCATGTGCAAGGTTAAGGGCTAAACGCCTTTTGAAATTGGGTAAAGATAAATCCTGAATGTTATTAGTTACTTCATCCGATAATTCGTTCCACCCTTGTGCTGCTCTATATAAGAGAAACTTCTTTTAAGAAAGTTGGTTCTTGGTTTAGGCAAAGATAGTTTAACATTATTGCTTCTTAGAGAATAATTACTATTTTCGCATCTCGTGAAGAAATTCTGCACATAATCAGGTAGTCTGTTAGTTAAAGCTTTAAACGTCATAATGATTTCTCTTTTCTTTAAAATGTCTTCAATTGGCATCCAATTGAGACTTTCTAGTATTTGAGTGGAACGAACATCGTATGATTGTCCTGTGATAACCCGAGCTGCTAGAGAGTTTGTTAAGAATGGTATTAGATCCATCATTCCATATTGTTGAGCAATATGTCAGGTGAGGAGATACTAGAGCATTATACATTTTGATTAAAATGTGTAAAGGAACAAAGGACTTGGCTCTTCTTAGTAATGCGATATTTTTTGAAATTTTTTTACATTGTGCGTCAATGTGTATACCCCACTTTAATTGATCGTCGATGATAAAACCAAGAGATTTTTTATTGGTGACCCGTTTAATATTATTATCTCGTATGGCTAATGAAATCTCTGGGTTGTCTTCAAATTTAGTAAGATGATGTCTAGAGCCAATTATCATAAATTCCATTTTGCTATCGTTTAGCGTGAGCTTGTTACATCTAAGCCAACTATGAACATTCTCAAGATCTCTTTTAAGTTTAGTCTCGATTTCATTGGCATCTAAGCCGGCACACGAAAGATTTGTGTCATTAGCAAACAAGTTAGCCTTGGTTGTTTCTATACACTTAGGTAGATCGTTAATATACAAGAGGAATAGGATGGGGCCAAGGTTAGAACCTTGTGGTACCCCACACCTAATTTCTCTAGCATGTGATTTTTTCCCATTCATTAAACAAATCGATTTCCTATTTTGGATGTAAGATTCAAACCATGCGTAAGTAGTTCCTTTTATGCCGTATAGGCGAAGTTTCTTTAATAAGATTTCATGGTCGACAGTGTCAAAAGCTTTTTTCAAGTCCAAGAACAGGACTCCATTGATTAAGCCACTGTCCATGTTATATAACCACTCATTTGTCGAACCTAAGAGTGCCTATAACCAACTTGATTAAGTTCAGATCTTTCGAACCTATAACCAACTTGATTAAGTTCAGATCTTTCGAGGTCTGTAAACCCAAGATAGCTACTTGCTTCGTCTCAACAACAAAAAACTTCTAAATTTTGTCATTACATTTCATGATCAAGTAACATTGTCCCAATACCGGCAAATGTTCTCCCGTGTAGCTTGTGAGTTTGACTGCTGTCGTCTCGAGCTGGACATCTTCTAAACTTCTAAACGTTGTTACGCTACGGTGAGTATATCAGCTTGCGAACCGGCAGCGCAGGTTTTACACAGTGGCAGATGTGGCATATGCCACGGGCCCCGCGCCTTCCAGGGCCCCGCGATGTGGCTAAAAGTATATGATGCTATATTATTAATTATTATTTATGCAAGCTGTTATTCACCAAAAGTGCCCACTTGCCGAGTATGTGCCTTGCGCCGCACATTCTCTCAATGTAGTCGGCCAATCAGCAGTAAGTTGCTGTTTGGAATCTGTCGGATTTTTTGGCTTTGTCCAAGGTTTATATTCTTTCCTCGTCGCTTCAGCACACCGTTGGAAAGTAGTCCATAATCGGCTGAAGAAAAAAGGCTTGCCCACAGTAAAACGTCTATCAGACACTCCTTGGTGAGCGCATGGCGCCGCTGTTAAAGCCGTGGTCAAGGTCTACGAAGAAATCAAAGCTGGATTGAAAGAGATTGCTTCAGACCCAGAGCAGAAAAGAGATACTCGAAAAGAAGCTCTAAATCACGCTTCTAATATGGATCGTTTGGAGACTGGCATACTTACTCTGGTATGGCACCGTATCTTGAAGTGTTTTAACAGTAACAGCCAATTGCTTCAATCCGCGGATCAAGACATTAACTCGGCTGCCGCTATTTATGAATCCCTGGAAGAGTACGTGAAAAATATGAGACCAAAATTTGAGCAGTTCGAGGCTGAAGGAAAATTGCTCAATGGATACGAACATTACGAAGACGAAATGAAACGAAATCGCCAGCGGAATCGTCGTTATGATGAACCAGGATCAGTTCCGGAAGTAGAACTTACACCTGACGATAATTTTCGAACGGTAACGTTTTTGGTTATTATCGATAGTTTGGTTGCTGAGTTGAAGAAACGTAAGGAAGCATACGTCACGCCACTGTTGCGTCAAGGTTTGGATTTTTGAGAACTATGAAGGAGCTACCTGACGACAAACTGACACTGAGTGCAAATCAGCTTTGTAAAATTTACCCAGGTGACCTTGAGCCGAGTCTTTCAGACGAGCTATTACAGTTCTCTGCCCTCCTGAAAACCGAGCTTGCCGAGAGATACCTGGATTCGTCAAGCTCTGTAGAAGCACCAGTCCTTTCTAAAATCCCTTCCTCGCCCGCACCATCTGAGGATTCTTCAGCGCCATCTTCACCAGTTACTACAACTCCAAGTGATGATGAAGTTATGTCATTCATCGATAACGATGAGCTGCATGAGCATGATGAAGCCATGGAATTTGAAAACAATGGTGCAATGAAACTAGAATCATCGGAGGTTCGGATGTACAAGCTCATATTAGAAAACAAACTAGAAACAGTATTTCCAAATATAGAAGTCGTACTTCGTATTTATCTTTCTCTTATGATATCTAATTGCTCTGGCGAAAGATCTTTTTCAATATTGCGTTACATAAAGAACTCGTACAGATCCACCATGGGTCAGAGACGGTTGAACGACCTGATATTACTAAGTGCTAAACAAGACATTCTTCGTGAGCTTGACATAAATTCACTCATCAATGACTTTGCGCTCATGAAATCTCGAAAAAAGAGTATATACAAATCATCGTAAATTGATAACGGGAACATTTCAAAGTGATATACTGCTATTTCAATTAAGGTAATTGTCCCCGAGCAAAGCGGTAAAGTCGAATACGAACGCGAAAGGCTTGCTGGAAATTGCATATAAATTAATGGATTTTCAGTTAGGGATTCCCAGCAAGCTTTCCGCGTTCGTATTCGACTTTTCCGCTTTGCATGCTCGGCGACAACCTTGATTGAAATAGCTGTAAGCCACAAGGATATAATAGTAATTATAAATAAAAAATTTCAAATACCAAGTTAATATATACTACTCTTGTATCTAATTTGGTCTCAGACTTTAGAGTTGCTATACGCGAAGCGAACGCCACGTGGCTACGATTTATGCTTAAAACGAGGTAAATTTCCAGGTTATAGTCTAATAGAGAAGGCAAAAATTTGGGGCCCCGCGCGAAGAAAATGCAACGGGCCCCGTGTTGTGTAAACGCGGCCCTGCGAACCGGTGTCGATCTTGAATTGTATTTGTTTGTCTTGCATCACGAGTGTTTTAAAATATTCATCTTCTTCGTTGTTGTTGCTTTACCGCTCCGATGAACAAAGGCTCCAAAGGTTCTTTATTTTTATCTTGTTCAACGAGACCTACTTTCCTCTTCGCTCGACAGACTTTAGAAAAATTATTATTCTTTCCACAGCTGAAACATGTTTCCCGTACGCTGGGCACTGCTTCGATGCATGAGACTTCCGGCACTTCCCACAATTTTTGCATTTAAATTCTTCTTGCTTGTCGTCACGCTGCGCGAAATTCTTACGCTTGCCATCTGTCTTGTTCTGGTTTTTACCGGCTTTCCATGCGGCTAATTGTTTCTTTATTGTATCGACTTCGTTTTCCCCATTCATCGCTTTTAATTCTTTGTTAGACTGTTCATCTGCCCGACAAATCTTTAAAGCTTTGACCAAAGTCAATTCCTCTTCTCCGCGTAATAGTCGCTCTTTTATTCGCTCCGAGTTGGTCCTGTACACAAGCGATCTCGAATTAACTCGTCTTCCAAGCTGCCAAAATTACAATTCTTCGCAATGAGCTTCAACTCTGTAACATACTGATCGGCTGTGTCGTCTTTTCGTTGGACTCGAGTATTGAATCTATATCTTCCCATGATAATGTTTTTTCTCGGCTTACAATACTCTTCAAATTTAGCGAACAATGTATTAATTTTGTCGACTTCATGCACTGTAAACGCCATCGTATTGTAGATTTTATTATTATTATTATTATTATTATTATTATTATTATTATTATTATTATTATTATTATTATAATTCATTTATATAGCGCCATTTCCCATAGCTCAATAGCGCTTAACATTAAGTGTTAAAAATATATACTAAGTGTTAGAACATAGTATATGCATTGACTACTAAAATTACTATACCATAAAATTACTAAAAAAATAATCATATGCTCTTCTCGTTAAGAATATAAAATTACTTTATGTTATGTATGTTGATAATATTAAAACAACAACTATATAGAATACTATAAAATTGCTAATAATCTTGTTAAAATAATAACTTAGTCATAATACTGTTTAAAAAGATGTGTCTTTAATCTGGTTTTAAAAATAGGCAAGGTCTCACTCTTTCTAATATACTCTGGCAGTTCGTTCCACAGTTTCGGAGCAGCATATGAGAACGATCGTTCACCATAGTTCACTAGTTTTACTGTGGGTATGGTAAGCAATCCTTTGGATGAGGAGCGTAAATTTGCTGATGGTGTGTAAAGTTTTAGCATATTATTAATATAATGTGGAGCTGAGCCATTCAGAGATTTATACGTAATAAGAACAATTTTATAGATGATGCGTTGACTGATGGGGAGCCAATGTAATTGTTTCATTAATGGAGTAATATGATCGTAATAGATATCGCGGCCGTCTTGTCCGATTATATATCGAAAAGCATCACATTGTTCTTTCTCGGCGGGTCCTACTAAACACCGTCCGCGAACGTCCTTGGACGTCCGTAAACGTCCGTGAACGTCCGCGAACGTCCGTGAACTCTATTTAGGTTGAAGTTTGTTATCCCCGAGCCGGCGAGGGTACTAATTCCCCCCGGCTATTTACACCCGGGGAAACGAAAGCATTAGCGGAGTCTAAAGTTCATCAATTATCGCGGGCGCTCACCAACGGTGTTGAGTGGGTGGTCATCACTATCACTGATCTTAGAATATGGCTGTTTGCCAGCAGCTAAGAAGGCAAAAATATAAAAAATATACATGTAAGAAAGCTTAAAAAATCGTTTCACATAACAAATTGTACAACTTTTTTGCAATTTTTAAACGTAAACATTGATAGTAATTGATATTGTATTATAAATCCTAAAGTATAGGGCAAGTTCGCTTCAATTGTTTATGTATGACTTTGTATTTAATAAATAAGACTTTGTCCTTGATGTTCAAGTCTTTCCTATGCATTGTTTGCGAAAGTTTCTTAGTCAAATTAATTTTTGTAGAAGTTCATGATAAAAAGGAAAGCAAATTATTTTCATCAGCGTAGTTTAGCGTCCTGTACGAATGAAATGTGTTTTATTTCAAAGTGCGAGTAATAAGTTGAAGAGCTCGAGTTGAGAAGTTTATAAATATCGGCAAAAAGTAGTTAAATTCAATTCACATTTAAAAACGTTTTACGTAGAGTTTCGTTTTGAATTTTACATTAAAATAAAGCCCATAGAAACCAAAATATTATACCTACTTTATGTATTTTAGAAATTGATAGTACTGTTTTTAAAAGTGTTCAAATTTCATCTATTTTTTCCCGGTTTGTACAAAAAATTAAAAAACAATATCGTGTTGCCATGACTAACATGAAGTGCCAACGCAAGCCTGCGTTCAGTGTGGTTCAGTGCTGGTGTAATTACGAATATTTCATGTTGAAACAATGTTTGGAAAATATAGGCGAGGGGATGTTGCATGTATGTATTTCTAGTTTAGATGTATTTTTGACATAACAACACAAAGAAAAGGAATAGCAACGCTACAAAGCGGTTTTAACGAACGTCCGCGAAAATACCCGCGATCCACGAATGAAACCCACGACCCGCGACAATTAGTATCTCATTTATGGGGGGGGGGGGAGTAGGGATATACAAATCCGCCTATCAGTTGAAGCGAAATCCGCGATCCGAGGCAAAATATTTGATAAATCCGCAATCTGCTGTATTAATAAGAGAGAAATCCGTCTAAAACATTCGCCAGATCCGAAATCCGGACAATTTTTTCTGTGAAATCCGACGATCCGTAAACCTACCCCCCATTGATATACACGCGAATGATACATGTATAAACAGGTTAACAAAGCTACAAACCGGTTTTAGGCTTTTATGTAATGCCTTTCTTAAAATGACAAAAGATTCAGATGGCTGCATATATTTCTGACACAAGAGTTTCTGATTATTACTGAAAAGTATTTAAATTAATCCCGGAAATGGCATTTGCAGCATTTTTAAGACACGCATAATCAGAAAACCCAGAATTCCGGGGGCCAAAGTATGCCTGTTTGCAGGTAGTGCTGTGAATAATACAGTTAAACAACAAAAACCATGACCAAAGACACCAAAAACGGATCAAAATTGTATTTTAAAATACTTAAAACGTGGAAAAAATGGGAATCTACTCGCATTACCTCAATCCCATTCCCATTTTTGAGGACTTCATTTCCCATTCCCAGTGGCCAAATCCCAGTCCCAGCAACCCAAATCACATTTTCCCAGTCTAAAAATTGATCAATCCCAGTTCCCATTTGACCCCTTCAGGCCCCTCTCTGAGAAATGCCAAATTTCTCTTTTGGCAGTTTTCTCGGCAGTAACGATTTTTCTCACATGCAATCGCGACAAATTAGGCCATAATCACACAAAATCTAATAATGTAAGGAATGAATTATAGTAGCAATCATGCATGAAAAGCATATATCTAACGACTTTTCCATACGAGGTCTTCATCAATAGATTCAGATTTTCTCTTTTAATTTGACTAATTAATCAAAAGTCTGCGACATAAGGGGCGTAGGAACCGGGGGGCCAAGGCTCCCTCAAGTTTTCAGAAGACACAAAAAGTGCCCTTTTTCCGGTGGCAAAATGCCCTTTGCCTTCGTGAAAAATGTTATTCAAATTGCATTTTTAACTCACTGATGTTGCAAAGCAACATCTGTAAGTCTTTGTGGTTACTTGAGTGTGGAACAGTTAAACAGTGGGAATTAAATGACCAGCCTGCTTGGCAAGCACTGTTTGCCTGCGCATCGGGTCTGTCAGAACGAGAAATCGGGCTAGAGCAGGACAAATGGCAAAATTGGCAAGGTGCTCTTTGAAAAACAACTACAAACAGCTTTAATTCTTTCTGCCGCTTTCGTTTGATCTCATTCGTGAGTCGCCCTCAATGGCCTTTGATTTATAATTGCATTTATTTTTCCTTCCCTAACCCCCCCTCCCCCACCCGTGCCAACATTTCCGGGAACATTTTTTGAGGTGCTCTGTTCATTCCAAAAGTCCCCTCGAACCCGGTGCCCCCCCCCCAACTTTTCGATGCTTCTTACGCTCCTGAAAGGAGCTTTGCATATAAACCCTGTGATATACACCTCCGCTCGAAACGTTCTAGTTTCCAGTAAGTTGTTTATCCTTCACAACGCAGTTGTCTGTTTTCTTCTCTACGTACATTGACACCGTTCTTTGGAAATTATTGAATATAAAGCGCATCGAACTCTACGATCGATGAATGCGCGGAATCTTAAAAGAAAATTATATTGAACGTTTATCATCTAAGTCGGGGAAGCGAAATATTGAACTTAAATGCAAATTTTAAGTATTGCTGTAAAACAAGACACTATAATTATCTACTTGGTAAACAAATTAGACACCTCCAACGCAAAGGCAACTTTACGAAGGTTTAACTTTTGGAAATTCACAAGTTGCATGCAAGTAATCAAGATTGTTGTACTACATGGTTAAACCATTTTAGATTGTTTTTCGTTGTAATATATAACAATTGAATTATGATAATGATTGTACCGTAGAAAAAGATAAATTATACTTGACAAAAAAATTACACCTGTGCGCCACGGCTCATTCTTTTCAAGTACATGGACGTGAAAATTATTATTTTCGAGTTATAACTTTGGTCAAAAACGTCCGCGCAGCTTAGATAGTAAAACACCGCAATTTAATTTTACTGACAATTTGATAATGATCGAATTAATGCATTACCATGCCAGAAACTCTATTAACGAAAATTATAATAACATGCATGCTTACGCAAGGCGGGAGTTTGAAAAAATTGCCTATATTGTCTTGAATTTACAAAACGACTACGAAAAATATGTTGTTAATGGACCATTTGCATTATAGACTAAATTTTGATCTAGACAAAAATTTCATCACAGCTTGAAAGAGCATCACAAAATTAGTAATATTCCAAAGTTTCGTTGCTAAATGTTGTAAAATGCGGATAATAATATAGCCTTGCGAAATTTGCAATTTTCAGTCATTTTGTATTACAAACTGGAAATTGATTCCCCAACACCCGATTGGGTTGTCAATTTCCCGTGCGTATTGCAAAATGACTGAAAAACGGCAAACTTTGCATCGCTACATTATTCGCATTTTACAACATTTTGCAACGAAACTTTGGAATATTACTAATTTTGTGATGCTCTTTCAAGCTGTGGTGAAATTGTTGTCTATATCAAAATTTACTCAATAATGCAAATGGTCCATTGCATATTATACAGACAAGCCAATATAACAAGATGACAATTTTGGTTCTCCTATCCGTACGCGGGAAATATTTATCGCGTTATAGACGATCGCCTTGTTGTGCTCGCCCAGAATTACTCGAAATAACTATTGTAACAGTTGATATACACTGCAACAAAACAAATTCACCAAAACTTGATTATAACGTTGGGAACCAACTCATTATTAATAAATTTCGATTGCGAGATCTTTTTCGGTAAATAACAAATTACTACATTAATGCGCATGAAGACGAGATTAATCACGCCGGGTCAGCAAGCAATGATTTTCGGCAGTTTGCATGTCATTAAAAATTGCGCGAATTTTCCGTGTTTTACCAAGGAGAATGGTAACGAATTAATTAGTCATCGTTTTTTCTTTCGCTGAGGCTCATGGTATTGTCTGGGTCGAAAGTGAACAGCAAATATGGAAAGGAGATGCTTCAAGGATCATTTTAATACCAAATAGTGGCCGTAAACCCACGAGGAAATAATAGAATATTTCGCCTTTTTGAGGACTAAAATGGACGATACTGCACAGTTTGTGAAATTCAACTAGTTTTCTCTCGGATAAAATTTGGCATCGTTTGTCAATCCTTGAAGAATTGTATTTGTAAAGCAACTTAAGACCTCTGGTGAGCATCGTATGATTTTTGTTTGTAA